AAGCGTCTCAATCATTTGGCCTTCACTAAATCCTGATGCTTGTTATGAACCCAGTGAAATATGCCAGAGCGGTGCCAAGAACTACAATGATGATATATATTGCGACGGTTTCTTTCCAAGTAATCAAAATGTACGTTGGAACTGCAGTGTTTTCTCATCTCCTCTCACACCATGTCTTGTTCTTTCCAGCCACTTGACCAAACGACCAAATTTTGTAGTAAACGGTAAAGTTATTGCATGAAAAAAACCAATAATTTTTACACACAATTATTGCACCATCTTTGCAGTATCAATATCGCACTTGTCATCACGGTGTTAATAATACTGTTTTAATTGATTGTGCAGTCCTATGGTGTCTGGACTGAAAGTAGTAATACACAGGTTTTTGATTGGACACATTCAAATCCTTCATAGACAGCTGAGAATCCTCACCATTTGTCAAACTGTTCTCCTTCATCAAATCTTACAGCTGATTGCATAAAAAAAAAACTACACGTTATTTTCTGGCTGAATCTCATTGTCATTTCATTGTTATTTTTTCAGACAGAATTCTTCTTTGAGGCAGCTTCCCTTCACTAGTTTCTGCTTTTGTGTCCAAAAGCATTGAGCAATCCAATCCAGTCCACATTCTGTTCTGCCAAGAGGATGATGGTAGTATCCATTTCTGCTTTGTGTCCAACCAGGAGATGCCAGGTTGTCCAAAGTGCGCTGATCCAGATAATTATCATGTCTCATCTATATATATTTTATGTCTTCAGAAAAAAACAAATCTATCTATTTAACCCATATCTGCTCCACAATATTCCCATATCAGTGCACCTACATAAAATACACCTATATCTCAACTTACCCTCATACCGTTGTCTAGGGGTGTTGAAAAATATCGATACGGCGATATATCGCGATATTACGTCGCGCGATTCTCGTATCGATCCAAAATGCAAAATATCGATATTTATACAGCCAATCCTCATATTTCCTCTGTAGCTCGTCGATTCCTCTGCATCCCAGGCACAAGCGTCTTTGCGGAGCGAGTCTTTTCCACTGCAGGAGATATTGTAACTGCACAAAGAAGTGCGCTGAAACCTGGGCATGTTGACCAGCTTGTGTTTCTTCAAAAAAATCTTAAAAGAAAGCAGTGATAACTTTCTGCATTTATTTGTTCTTGGGATATACCTCATTTAAGTTGCACTAAAGCCATGTTGCACTAAAGCCATTTTGCACTAAAGCCATGTTGCACTAAAGTTGTTTAAAAAGCCACAGGCAGATTGTGTCGTTTTATTTTGTTGTTGGCACATGGCATGTTAAAGCCAATGTTTGCAAAAGGAAGATATGCCAATAAAATATATTTTATAAAAATTTACAGATTCGTCTTTTAAGTCATAAATCGCAATAATCGCCTTATACTGTAATATTGGGATATATCGTATCGTATCGTATCGTGACCTATGTATCGGGATACGTATCGTATTGCCAGATGCCAGGCAATACACACCCCTACCGTTGTCTGTAAATAAAAAAATGCAATCTGTTTGGGGAGTTATTCTAGGCTATCATCGCCACTACTAAACCCACAGTGGAATAACCAACAGACGTAATGTGTTTTCTAATAAAAGTACTGCTGAGCTGCACTGGACTGGGCGGCGTAAGTGGCCTACATGTGCAGATCGTGCTGAGCCAGTGCTTTGGAAGGACACGGGAAGAGAGATGAGGTGGAGCGGAGGCAGACATTTTTCTCCTGGCGAAATCCCCTCCGTGTTCACAGCGCACACCTAGAGAACGCTGAGACCGTGGAAAAGCAAGTCTGTGTGGAGCCAGAGTGGGGGATGTGAGGCTGGAGGGGGCGCAGGGCTAAGTGCTCTCTCTCTCTCTCTCTCTCTCTCTCTCTCTCTCTCTCTTTCTCTCTGGAACAATAGTGCAGGCTACAGCTGTCCCTGTCACTACACACTGCTGCCCACCGCTCTGAGGCATTGTGGGCCACGGCTTTGGACACATACATGCGCGAGAGAGTGTTCTGGAGAGCTGGGAGTGAAGAGACGCTGGGAGAAGCTGGTTGCAATAGCTCTGCGTGATTGGTTGAGAATCAAAATCCGATTCAGATTCAGGTTTGTTTGATGTTGCAATAAAACCACATTGGTATACATAATTTCTTTATTATGCTGAAGTTAGGGAATTTTAGATGTTAGTATAGAGCAGGGGGGTCAAACTCATTTTGATCAGGGGCTTTTTTACATTTAGAAAGTATTTTGACGTGACTTTAATGTGACATAAGTTTCACTATTATGTTCTGGCTTATTTTTCTGAAAACAATGTGTTTGTAAAGATTGAAACAAAGCTGCACCGTGTATGAAGTTAAACACACTGTTTTCAATTAAATTTGCAAAACAAATAAGCCCACAATTTCATAACGTGAAGAAACACAAGATTCTTCATGTTATGAGATTCTGCCACTGTATGTTGGAGCAGAGATCCACTAATTTTTAATTTAATTTAATTTAATTTAATTTAATTTATTCATTTATTTCAAACCTGCAGGAGTGTATAAACGGGAAAACAAAAATACAAAGTCAGTAGATGGATAGATATAGATACAGTAGATAAATAGACACAGTAGATAGATAGATAGATACAGTATATATATATAGACACAGTAGATAGATAGAGAGATAGATACAGTAGATAGATAGATACAGATACAGTAGATAAATAGACACAGTAGATAGATAGATAGATACAGTATATATAAATAGACACAGTAGATAGATAGATAGATACAGTATATATATATAGACACAGTAGATAGATAGAGAGATAGATACAGTAGATAGATAGATACAGATACAGTAGAGGTATAGACACAGTAGATAGATGGATAGATATCCCAATATGTTGCTACTCGGGCGATCATTTATTCTTTCAAGATAAAAGGCAAATGTCATGAGATTCTATTCCATATGTGCATATAATAACACATTTTTGTTATTAGAAGAGATCCCTGTGAGTCCATAATTGACACTTCCTATCTTTTTATGGCAGTAAAAGCTGATCCAAAACTCTGACAGAGACAAAAACCTAGCTCTTTTCTTCAATTAAATACCCGAGCTTTAACTCAATATTTAAAAATATATTTCCCTACAGTGAGACTAGCTCTCACTCTCATCATCTCTCTCTCTCCCTCTCTCTCTCTCTCTCTCCTCTATGTGTATTTGCGTCTCCATGTGAGGCTCTTCTCCACAAAAGCCTGGAGGCCGCTGCCAGATCTCACATCTCACATAAAGCAGCAAAGCCATTTCATCTGATTAAAACTATTCCACTAAATCTCCCCATCTTATGAACCGAACAAAGCATCCGGTAAGCCAACCCATGCCGACTCCATCTCTCAGAAGTAAACGAAGGGTAATCATAGCCATAGTGCAAATCCTCAGCGGCGTTTACTGTATGCGATGTTTTTTTTCCGAGTCGCAATAAGTGAGAAATGTCAAAGGCGAGTTGTGTGAAATGCGCTCATATTGGGGAAACATCACATCAGAGCAAAAGAGACGGTGGATCAGCGCGTTTTGGTATTGGATGTTTTGACAGCAGACAGCTCTAAGTAGGTCAGAAACATGAGAGGATTTGCTGAGCACTCAGGAGACGCTATACGGCAGTCTCCCGCACAACTCTACCCAAGCATCTATTAAAACAGGCAAAATATGTAGTGTGTGTCTGTCTGCTGTACAGTGAGAATCCGTGACGCCTCATTAGTCTACACTGAGCTATGGATGTGTCAATACGACCTGAAGGTTTGCATACTGTACTGTGTCATGAGCACAAATATACGGATATCTATGCATACAGACAGTCACTGGATTTTGTTATTTGTTTACCTACCATCAGTGCTATTTCTTTGCACATGAAGACTTTCTGTACTATTTAAAAATTTTAAAATTGTTTATTTGGCTAGGACAGTTAATGGACACTGCTCAAAATTGTAGATGGGGATATTTTGCGTTGGTCGTCTCAGTCTCACTCATAAATATACTTGTTCACCTTGAGCTATTTGTAAATGCTTTTAGTGGAATGGGTAAGCACCTAGAGGAAACTTATGTGGACACGGGGAGAATGTGCAAACCCCAAGGTTTTTTCTGAAGGTGGAATCGAACCCAAGAATGCATGGTTTAAAAGAAAACAGCAAACAGAATGGCTCAGTCAAAGTCCAGACCTAAATTCAAATAAGACTAAAAAACAATCCATCTGTTCTGACACAGCCTGAATTGTTTTGTAAGAATGAATAGGCAAAACTCTCAGTCTCCAGATGTGCAAAGCATATCCCACAAATCAGCGCACAGTTGCCAGTTTGTTGTGGTCTTTCAGAATGAATTCCAAAATAAAGCCACTGTAAATCCAGAATGTTTAAAATCCAAGTGCAAGCTCTGCACTCTGCCCTTTTACATGACATCAGCAGAAACATGGTCACATCAAAGCCTCTCCCACCCAACTCTCTGTTGAGGAGATTAGCTTTAATGATACGTAACATGCCTTAATAGCCCATTTTAACCTCGTACTATCATTGCAAAATAATAATTAATTAATATTAATAATTGAAGATAAAAAGGGGGCCTTGCGGGCCACATGTTTGACACCCCTGCCCTAAAACAGCTGCGTGTGTTGCTGACAAAACCCACAGAAACCCACAACATCACTTACAGAATGTTATTCGGACATTTCTTGTGTAGCTGCAGAGGCAACTATGCTTTTTTCAGTTCTGACGGAATGTTCGTCAATGTTCTCATTTCTCCTCTGGACGAATAAATGTTTGTTTTAAACTAAAGAACGATTTTGAGCCTTAATAAACTCAGAGGGACTAACATCTTGATAAAGCATTGATAAAGAAGTCTGAATCTGAAAAGGGAATTCCGTGTTATGACCTCCTTAAAGCACAAACATGGCTGAGACAGATAAGACTTTTCTCTGTTGACAGTGTCGCTGTGTCAACTGTAAAATCTGTAAAGTCGACTTACGTCATTGGGAATGAGAAACTCCTGAGACGTCTGAGAGTTTGTGTCCAGCCCTGAAATGAAATTAAAGGAAGAAGGAAAAAGGTTAGCGGTTGAGTATTTTTTTCAAGTAATGTGATGCAATTCAAGGATTTTCTTTCATATTGTAAAATAAGGAAATTAATAATTTCGTATGATAGTTTTAGCTCTGCTTCTGGGGGATAGAAAATATTATTAATAAGAGACTTTGCATTCACGCTCGGAGGAAAAAACCTAAGGCCTCTCACCCCACTTCGGAGTTCAGTTTATTGCTAGCACATTTTCTTGTCCCTGTCCCATTTTTGCAGACTGAAAACTAAAACTATACTAAAAACTATTCCAAGAAATTAAAACGGAACTGTCCTAAAGTACATATTCATGACAAAAAGTGCTGATTTTTTTTATTTTTGGAAGCGTTCACAAGACCTTCTTAGTTATGTTTTTTCTAAATTGACAGCACATTCTACCATCACAGATAAAACAGTTATAATTTTATGCACTGAACAAGTATAAAATCAGCCAAAGTTTCCAAACTAAAACAAAATTAAACTTTAAACTGCTAAATTCTGGACTAATTCTGGAGAATGCTTCTTCTTTTATGGCCTTAAGGTTTTGGTTCATTATTTTTTTCCAAGGTCAATATGAGCCAGTGAGAGTTGGAGCAAAACTTCATACATGAGCACTTCCCTAATGGGATTCATCATCTATCAATTGTTTAAACCTGTAATCAGCAGATCAAAATCCGAATAATAATCTCCACAAACCCAAAGTATTCTGCCCTTAGTTATCAGCTGTTGTTATTACTTATTTGTTATTAGAAAAGAGAGAGAGAGCTGAGGCCTAATGCTTGCAGATATTTTTAAACTTCCTAGAACACGTCAAAGTCAAAGTGAAGTACAAACCGGGTATGATGGTGGAGGCCTGGGACACCGGACTGAGGCCTTGCTGCAGAGAGAGTTGGTGCAGTTTGGCCAGCTGTGGAACACAAAGTGAAAAACATCAGTAAGCAAATCTAAAGTTAGTGTTAAAGAGTGAGAGGATCCGGGTCCTACCTCAGACTGTGGAATCCCGTAGTGGTTCTGCAGAGCGTACGCCTGAAAAACAGCCCTCTGCATTAGGGAAATTACAGCCATAAAACACTCGCAGGACCATAAATCTGAGGGCGACTAATGAAAGTGGCTGTGAGTCGATAAACAGGATCCCTCCACAGGATTAGAGAGAAGGCCTTCCATCGCACATATGTGGATTTACTGATCACCGTAAATTATATGCATGCCATTAATTAGAGACGAAAATGCAAGAAATCTGAGCGCAGAGGTGTTAAGTATTTTTCTTACTGTCGGTGCTTTCCTTGACATGTTTTTCTTACTTCTAAACCTGAATATACTTTGTACTTACTGTTTGAAAAAAAAAGAGGAGAAAGTGTGCCAATTCAGATATTAGCATAGTTCATTCCTTCATTGTGGTTAGCCATGCTTCTAATTTCATAATTAATTTCAGTTAGATATGCTTCTAATTTCATTCCTTGTGGCTAGCTGTACTTCTAAGTTCATTAATTGATTTTTAAGGTATTTCATTCTTTCTGGCTGCCTGTATATCAATTATCTACACTTTTACTTGAGTACACTCTTGGTCATGGAGGATTTACTGTCTAATGGATATTGTCTTAAAATAATAAATGCATTTGTAAAGGTTAAAAGTCTCAAATAGAACAGTTGCTGAGAACACGTTCCTGAATCCAGAATGTTTTAAGATCCTCAACTCTGCTCATCACGCTCCGCTGTCCACCGGTCGCATATGGAGAGACTGCTGGGAGAAGTATGGTAACTTGAGCTCTATCCTCTCCTCTCTCCAACTGTATCTGTCATCATCATAACTTCAGCTGTAGTCTGTTCATTCCTATTCACCCCCTGTCCCACAGTCTGTTTCATGGTGAGATGATGTGATCTACACCTGTGACTGGTCTCCCCCGGCCCGGACTATTGGGCTGCATTCTCCTCAGTCCTTGTTCTACAGCCTGAGTCCTGGATCTAGACCTTGTCCGTCCGTATGAGTGGATCCCGCTCTCAATGTGGCCGCCTGGAAGTTTTTGTCCCCACTTTTTTTTTTTTTGTAAAGGTAAAGGTTTTTTCATTTTTTTTTTTTTTTTTTTTTTTTTTTTTCATTTCATTAAAGTAAAAAAGGTAAAGGTGCACTTTATTAATCCCCAATTCATCCTCTGCATTTGACCCATCCTGATGCCACTAAGGCTTACGTAAGGAGCAGTGGTCGCCGTAGAACAGCGCCTGGGAACCCATCTCCAGATGTTGATGCTCGGCTTGGTCAGGACTACCGCAGCTGGAGGATTTTACCTAGTGTGCATGTTTTTAGTGGTAGGGGAAACCGGAGCACCTGGAGGAAACCTACGCAAGCACGGGGGAACAGAAAGACCCTGTTCCGACCAGGGTTCGAACCCAGGACCTTCTGGCTGAGGAGCGAAATTGTCATCCACTCAGCCACCAGTTTGGGTCGTTCATTGCCGATGCAGGAGGCTCTAAGGACAGTCCGGGACATTTATTAAAATCTACAGACAGTGGTCATACCGCTCCCTTTGGATCTATTTGTTTGTTATTATTGCATTTCCTGTGTTTTTTAAATGTTCAATGCTCTGATCTATTGTTGGTGAATCGACCACGTTGCAAAGTCCTCCCAGACGACTGCTGTTGTGATTTCAGGCTCTACACAAATACATTGAACTGAACTGTGTGTTGGTGACAAGCTTGGAACATGCAGCCGCTACTATAATATCATAGTTTACTCCAAAGTGGCCTCCTGTGTATGTATCACAGCCCTCTGAAGTGCACCCTCTTCTGTTGTTATTGCAGCCGCTGAGTGGGAGCCAAAGCTGTCTGCTCCGGAGCCCTTCCCCTGTAGGGGTGTGGAGCAGACAGCTCTCAGCTTAACTGGATTCCTCCGGCCGCCAGCCGCCTGTCTCCAGTTACCCTCCCTCTGGACTCCGAGGAGCAGCTCCGGCTATTGTGGACATATACACTATACGTACATCAATGCAGCCCATCGGAGCGGCTTATGCGAGAATAACAGAAGCAGCTGAAGTGAGAGCTTCATTAGAAGTCTATTATAAGTCTTGTTTTGCTTTCAGATTCTAACTCATAATTGTATGTGTAGTTTGACTCAAGCATTGTTTTGAATGTGGATGTAGTGGATAAAGTATGGTAGCCAATCCATGTATGCAGACTTTACCTTCCCTATAACTGAATGAAACAATGTACTTTTTTGTATAGCAGTTTCATTCACAAAGCAACTCAAAGTGCATAACAAAATAAGATAGAAAGAAGGCTCTGTTACTGGCCATTGAGTTGTTTATAAATAATTTTAAAACTATTGTATGCTACTTTAGAATGATGTATTTAGTGTTTTGTTTGGATGGATGGATGTGTTTCTGCTACTGCTGGACACCTGAATTTCTCCTACTGGGAATTGATAAAGTATCGATCTTTCTATCTATCTACATGTTGAAAATACTGAAATTAATATAAAAATATATAGAACTTTAAGATAACAATTGAAGAAAGTTAAAGCTAGAGTACTTAGCTTTAGAAACGAGGGAACACTCACAAAGCAGTTAGATTCTATTACTAGTTTGTATGTGCATATTGTTAGCCTCTTTCACATCTTCTGATCTTTTGAGGACCAGGATTCACTCAGCCAATCAGCTCTCAGTATAAGATATAGACAGGTTTGATTTGTCCCCAAAATGCTACATAAGCAGGACTCTTCCTGTTGGGACAATCAAAAAATACTGCTTTTCTTCATAGTATAATAATAAATGTGACGGACCAGTTGTGTGTGTGTGTGTGAGCTAGAGAGAGAGAATTTTTTTGAGGTTTTCCGATGCAGTATATGATTCCAAAGCTGAAATATGTCTGTCATGGATCCCCAACAATCCTGGGGGATAATGGAATCACATTTCAGGACAGAGCTCATCGGAACAATGGCCAGGGCTTTGGTTCAGCTGTCGTTGCTAATGCCGAGAAGAGGCTGGTTCTCTGGTGTAACTTTGGACACACTCTCATACTGTCCCGTCCACGTCACATCCACCACTGGCTTTTGGTTCGGCGTGGGCAGTTATTTTTGGCCTGGTTGAACAGATTTGTGGTCCACGTACCTGCTGGAGATCCAGAGCTCCCTGTGCCACAGAGTACAGCGGGTGAGGAGCGTATTCGGACGCTTCGAACATCTACAAATACAGAGGCACGTGTCAGTTTCTCTGTCGAGCGATGACGTGTGCGATAGTTTTGTCCTGGGGTTGTGTTTGGGAATGTTTCTGCTGCGGCAAACTCATCCCGCTTAGATCATATGAATGTAAAAGGCTTGTGACAGATGGTTCGGACAGAATCTACAGTTATATAACTATATATACATATATATCTGAATTATTTCTATTGACATTGTAATTAACATGACGTTACAAACTAGGAATTTGTTTTGGCTCAAGGTAAAAACAAGAGGTTTGTTCAAGAGTAAAAAGGGAAAGTCATGCATACAAAACTCTTCATGCTCTTTCTTAAAATTACTGCAATCTATAAGTGCATGAAGTAGATATACGTGCAGCAGTTTTACATACAATTCAGTGTGTGAAAACATGTAACATTATATTTAAGATTTTCATAATTCTTTTACACATTTGATCCCAGTTTGAATTTTGTTGTATTTATAATTGTATTCTTTAAATGACATATCAAATACAAAGTTCTGAGTTTTTCTGTAATATATGAATATATATTGTTATGGTATATTATATATACACACATGTAGATTCTCTAAAGTAACACCTAACAACCATTTATACAAATGCGTTGTTGTCCTTGTATAAATCTTTCATCTATTCATTTGTGGTTGCTAAAGGTTTCTAAACGTCACATCTGCAGCCTCAGTCCAACAGGAAGCAATATTAGAAACTTCACCACATTTTCAATACGGGTGTTTACATTTGGAGAAGATGTTCTGTTCATTCGTTTCTTCCCCTGCTGATTTCACTTCACTGTTATTTTTTCAAACTTTCTGGGCTTTACAAGTATTGATGATAAGTTATTTTTTTCTTTTTCTGGACTGAAAGTTCTTGTCAACGCTCCCTCGTTCGCACCGCAGGCTGTGAGTCTCCTCCACAATTTGATACAACTTTATTCCTCGTCTTATACACTGTGCACTCGCATCTGGGATTGAATTCTAAGTGCTTTGAGTGATACAAACATACACAAGCAATTTTTTCCAACATAAATGTTTGATTGGTTGAAGTAACAATTTTATGAAGCCTGGGGAGGCAACGCCTGTGGGATTTTTGACCAAGCAAAATTCATCTCTGTTTGAAAGTGGTTAAAAATAGCTGCATTAGCCAATATCTAAATTTAGTGGTGTGTGCAAAAGAAAGATATTTTAGCATCAGATACTGGTGAAACCCAGTAAATTAGAATATTGTCTCTCTGTGTCTCTCTCTGTGTCTCTCTGTGTCTCTCTGTGTCTCTTTGTGTCTCTCTGTGTCTCTCTGTGTCTCTTTGTGTCTCTCTGTGTCTCTCTGTGTGTCTCTCTGTGTGTCTCTCTGTGTGTCTCTGTGTGTCTCTGTGTCTCTCTCTGTGCCTCTCTCTGTGTCTCTCTGTGTCTCTCTCTGTGTCTCTCTGTGTCTTTCTCTGTGTGTGTCTCTGTGTGTCTCTGTGTCTCTCTCTGTATCTCTCTCTGTGTCTCTCTCTGTGTCTCTCTCTGTGTCTCTCTCTGTGTCTCTCTCTGTGTCTCTCTCTGTGTCTCTCTCTGTGTCTCTCTCTGTGTCTCTCTCTGTGTCTCTCTCTGTGTCTCTGTGTGTCTCTGTGTCTCTCTCTGTGTCTCTCTCTGTGTCTCTCTCTGTGTCTCTCTGTGTGTCTCTGTGTCTCTCTCTGTGTCTCTCTCTGTGTCTCTCTCTGTGTCTCTCTCTGTGTCTCTCTCTGTGTCTCTCTGTGTGTCTCTGTGTCTCTCTCTGTGTCTCTGTGTGTTTCTCTGTGTGTCTCTGTGTCTCTCTCTGTCTCTCTCTGTGTGTCTGTGTGTCTCTGTGTGTGTCTGTGTGTCTCTCTGTGTCTCTCTGTGTCTCTCTCTGTGTGTCTCTCTGTGTGTCTCTGTGTGTCTCTGTGTGTCTCTGTGTCTCTCTCTGTGTCTCTCTCTGTGTCTCTCTCTGTGTCTCTCTCTCTGTCTCTCTGTGTGTCTCTGTGTCTCTCTCTGTGTCTCTCTGTGTGTCTCTGTGTGTTTCTCTGTGTGTCTCTCTCTGTGTCTCTCTCTGTGTCTCTCTGTGTGTCTCTGTGTGTTTCTCTGTGTGTCTCTGTGTCTCTCTGTGTCTATCTCTGTCTCTCTGTGTGTCTCTGTGTGTCTCTGTGTGTGTCTGTGTGTCTCTCTGTGTCTCTCTCTGTGTGTCTCTCTGTGTGTCTCTGTGTGTCTCTGTGTGTCTCTGTGTCTCTCTCTGTGTCTCTCTCTCTGTCTCTCTGTGTGTCTCTGTGTCTCTCTCTGTGTCTCTCTGTGTGTCTCTGTGTGTTTCTCTGTGTGTCTCTCTCTGTGTCTCTCTCTGTGTCTCTCTCTGTGTCTCTGTGTGTTTCTCTGTGTGTCTCTGTGTCTCTCTGTGTCTATCTCTGTCTCTCTGTGTGTCTCTGTGTGTCTCTGTGTGTGTCTGTGTGTCTCTCTGTGTCTCTCTCTGTGTGTGTCTATGTGTCTCTGTGTGTCTCTCTTTGTCTGTCTGTGTCTCTCTGTCTCTCTCTGTCTCTGTGTCTCTCTGTGTCTCTTTGTGTCTCTGTGTTTCTCTGTGTCTCTTTGTGTGTCTCTGTGTCTATACAGTATGTCCCCAGTGCTGCTCCCCATTTGTAGCTGGTCCATTGTCTGACTTTATCCCTGTGTTTTTGCGCAAGTTCCTGGATTTTTCAAAATTTGTGTTTCACCTTGGAAGGTCATTTTTATTATTAAGTATTTTTTATTAAGTGGATCATCAGGAAATCCATTTCAAATCACTTCCATTAAATGTTATCTACATATTGTCTGACATAGTGGAAAAAGTACAAATCCTCTGGGAAAGTGAGTTTGTGTGAGTGATGCCAACAATGACTTGTAAACAGCGTGCACGAGGAGAACTGGGCACGTGCACGTCTCTCGCAAACGTTTTAGTCGGCGTTCCCTCTTGGGAGCAGGGAGAGTGTTGCGTTTCAAAAAGTGGAGAGGGCGGTTCTATCCTAAAATTTGGGAAAGTCCTCCTGCTGTGATGAGTCTGTATCATATTGGATCACTTTCACATTGTTAGTTGAATTCCAGAAATAAATGAACTTTTGAACAACATCCTAATTTCCAGAGTTTCAGCTGTAAGTAAGTAAGTAGTAAGTATTTATTTATATACCGCCTTTTCACTGCAGATCTGAGTCTCAAAGCGGTTTACAATTGTTAATTTTTTGTGCATTAGTCTCTCACTCCACACAGAGATGGGAGCGGGGTCGCCAGTACAGGAGGCGCATGCTAGAACTATTGGACATATTTTTAGTGGTAGGGGAAACCGGAGTACCCGGAGGAAACCTACGCAGACACGGGGAGAACATGCAAACTCCACTCAGAAAGGCCCTGGTCCGACCGGGATTCGAACCCAGGACCTTCTTGCTGAGAGGCGAGAGTGCTATCCACTCAGCCACCGTGCCGCCCACGGCTGTAGGCCGCTGTAGATTTCTTCAAATGGCCAATTCAATAAATGCAGTGGTCGAGGGGTGGGGTGAGAGAGAAACATCTTGATGTACGTATATGCCATCGTTAAATGGGTTTTCCCTTAAGATTAATTAGGTGGTAAACGCAGACTAAGATGAACAAGTTTAATTGTATTTGCTGCCAATAAAAGTGAATAGACCCTAAACAACAAGCACTTTTAATCAACAATTTACAGGGTAATTATTGGTGCTAATCTACAGGACTATACAGACTTTCCTCTCACCTGGTTCCCCGCGATGAGGAAGGCTGCGGGGGAGGGGCTGGGCCGGTACGGGATGGTGGCTCCTTTTGGTGGAGACTGAAAGTGAAAAGATTATCTCTGCATTAGAAGCATTTACCATCCTCCATTGGGTTTTAGTATCAATATCATGGCACTGAACAGCTACAAGTGCTAGAATAATGGCATCTTTATTACCCCAGAAAACATTAGCTAGGGTTTTAATAATTGAAAAGTAGTGGCTGATATTGTTGTTGATGTAGAATTGCAGGAAATTGCCTCAAGGAGTGATTAAATAAAAACTCAAAACACTCTAATTTAAAGTTTCAGGTTAGATAAAATATATAAAAAAATATTTATTAGTTATTATTACTATTATTATTATTAAAAATCGTTTTTTCAGTCTCAAATTAAATTGGTCCATATATACATACGAAATAGAAAAATGAATAGGAATACAAAGAATAATGCATTCCAATGTACCTATAAATATATCAACATCCATTCATTTTTTTCTGATGTACCCGTTGCCGAGTTGAGGAGACAGCTCTGTGAGCAGAGACACTCAGACTTATGCATGCACATACTGTATGCCCCTCTTTCACCAAGATATGTGCCGGTTGCCATTTCAGACACAGTCCTTTTAGTTTTCCACTGAAAAAGCGCTGTCCCTGACTTGGCCCCAGCTCAGAACAAGACCAGAAATGGGTGAACCAGTTTTGGAAAAGTACTAAACACAAACATTGTATTTAATTAGAATATATTGGATTGGATTCAACTTTATTGTCAATGTCAGAACAATGCAACAAAATGCAGTTTAGCGTCTAACCAGTAAAGGTTACTCATATTTACAACACAAATAGATATACAAATGCATATATATATATGTGAGACTGTACAAAGCTAGTACCGTATTGTTTGGATTATATTTTTTGGAGTATAAGTCGCACCAGCCAAAGAATACATAATAAAGCAGAGAAAAACCATAATATAAGTCGCATTTTGTGGGTTTTGACCAAAATACATTTGATAGTGTTAACACTGAAAAATCATAAATGTCCCGCCGGTGAGCCAATGGATGGTCAAATGATACACGTATCACTCTTCTTAATAGCTTAATCGCTCAACTTAAGAGCCCAGGCTATCATTGATGTGCAAAAACTAATAAGTGCCATGGAAACATATCGGAAAAGATTACACTTTTCTTTTTACCTCTTCTTCTTTCTTCAAGTTTACCTCCATTAACAGAACATGTTGAAGATTGTGACAAGAGGAAAACATTATTTGGAAAACATTTCAAAACGGCGATATCTGTTTTTGCATATGAACTCTTATGTCACTATATTTCTTGTTATAACGTGGGTTTGATTTTTGTTCATAAATGAACTGCATAATTCACAGTGCTTAAGCCAAACGCATGAGAGACAGATTCTTAATGAAACCCTTTGAAGAAAGTTCTAGAAAACAGGATCAAATTTGCACAAGTTCAAGCATGAAGCCGAAACATGTGGGTCTAGTAGTTATTCGGATTATTAGTAGCATGCAGCGCACTCTAAAACACATGAACTAACCAGCTGTTTTTAATGTCTGGTACAAAGAATATATTTTTCCTGCCAGATTTTCTCTTAGATCTGTTATAAAGTGGCGTCCCCAGAAGTCTTTCATGAAGGAGACAGTGAGGGTCCAAGAATTACACTGGGTAAAAAAAAAATATTTTTTGAAAATTGTCCAGGGTTTTCCAGCTGAATTGACTAATTTTGATGCTCTGAGTCCGAAAATGACCTTGGTTTTGCTCAATCAGGTCAGGATTTTTTGCTACAGAAATATTGTTTTAAATCGCGTAAAAAAACAAACTTCTGCGGATCATCAGCTGAGAAACCCATGACGTTTTTTCCGTTTTGGAAAAAACGTCATGGGTTTCTCAGCATACGACTATGGCTGTATCTCAAACAGTTGACCTGATAGAGCAAAATGCATGTGATATTCGGACTCAGAAACACAAAATTAGTCTAAATCAGTTGAGAAACCCCTGACCATTTTTTAACAGTCAACTTGTGTTATTGATGTAACTTGCTACAAATAATAAGTATGTTTTACTCTGTCGTTGGTATTTCAGATAAGTCAAGTCTTTAATCACAATTGAGAAACGTACTGTACATGTTAAATTTGGGCAGAAAATGTGCAAACAGTTAAAAAGTACTGTATCTTACGCCCAACCAAACAGTTTATACACAAAAAAAGAAAAACCGCTGTGTTTTAGCTTTATTTTGCTAAAGTTAGAGATTTTATGAACTTAATTCTTGTTTCTTCATTCTGCTAAACCTGGATATTATAGATTTTTCCCTTATTATGCTAAAGCTAAAGACTTTAACTGATGTTGTTTTATTCTGTATACATTTACTGTTAATCTATCTTGTGCTGTGTCCTCCTCATTCCTACTGTTCTGTAACCGGTGAGGCAACACTGAAATTTCCCCACTGTGGGAGGAATAAAGGATCTCTTAATTTTAATCTTAATATGCAATATATTCTGTTCATGGGGAAGGAAGCTGTCAATGCTCTTGTCCAAATATTGAGTTAAGTTTGTGAAGGGCCGGTTTGTTTTTCCAGCGACTTTCTCCAGATCAGACGACAGTGTTAAAAGCTAATCCTAAATTCCGCATGAGCACAGAGACACTCAAATGCACCTTTTAATGTTGAAATAGTGAAAAGAGTGAGACGTCTTTAGAGGTTAAGGTTACCGACGTGGGCCCGTGTCCATAGCAACTGTTTGCGTTACCAAAATAATACAACTCTAAAATGGAGTGTGTGATTTCTCCTCACGATTATGTAACTCAGTCTGAGAACAGCAGAGTGCTCACCTCCAGAATGACATTACAGATGAGTTTGACGCACTGGATCACCGAGTCCTGGCTGCCCGATATCGTCACTCCTCGCTCGGTCGAGTTGGGAAGAAGGTCCCCCGCCACCTGGATCTGAGCCCCAGTGTTCTGCAACACAAAACATGACTTCTTGTTACTCACACGGCAATAAAAGGATTCTGATTTCTGATCTGAATATATTCGTTTTCATTTCATTTCAATTCAATGTATCCCCCTAAAACACAACAGTAGTAGCACAGTATTAGTAGGACTTTCCAAAGCTGTTGATTCGCCGACATTTCATTTAATTTCATTTCATTATCAACCCCTTTGTCCATTTCTGGGTCGGTTGTGAAACAGCCTTGATCTTTCAGCGGGGGGCTTCAGGCAACGTGGGGTTAAGTGTCTTGCCCAAGGACACAACGACAGCAGTCATCAGTGGGAGCAGTTGGAATATGTCCCATGGTGGGAATCGAACTCACGACCTCCAGGCCCAAAGGCCAATGCTCTACCAACTGAGCTCCTGTTGCCCCAGACCAGAAAATCAAAAGAGTTTATATACAGGAAATGCAATAACATATTGTTCCAATCCTTCCACACACGGTGATGACGGAAGAACACAGTCGCCGAACACACATGGCGCATCAGCCCCCAATCAACACCATTCACCCTCTCATTTACATTCATACCTATTGTACATGTTTTTAGTGGTAGGGGAAACCGGAGCACCCGAAAGAAACCTACGCAGACACGGGGAGAACATGCAAACTCCACTCAGAAAGGCCCTGTTCCGACCGGGATTCAAACCGAAGATCTTCTTGCTGAGAAGCCAGAGTGCTATCCACTGAGCCACCGTGCCGCCCAACGTGCCGTAAACGTATATACAGTATGTTTTGGATCATCACCACTGTCCTTTGACCTTCCTGCATCTGCCAGGAACAACTGTAACAATAAAAAAGAAACCGCTGGAAGGCCCACATAGATCCAGGACTCAGTCTGTAGAACGAGGACCAAGGCCACGCGGTGCAGGTCTGAGGTGGCTCCCAGGTAGGCAGGCTTCATTTTATATAGCACATTTTAGGACCATTTCTTAAATAGAATTCAAGGAGTATGTTAGCAATCGATTGGGATGTGATTAAAGGTTAAACATGGCAACACCAGTACAGTTACTACATTAATGTTGCTTCTCAAATTCTGGAATATAATCCTGAATGTTTCTGTGTGAGCTCTCACCTCTCTGATCTCCTTGATCTTGGCTCCTCCCTTCCCGATGAGAGAGCCGCACTGACTGGCAGGAATGACCAGGCGCAGTGTGACCGGAGGTTTGGTGCTTATGGTGCCGTTGGCCACTAATGTAGTCAGGTCCTGAGGAAGAAAAGAGAAAAGATTCAGATTCAGATTCATTTATTTTCCATTTGCAGTGAAGCCACATCAGAATACATCCGCAAAGTCCCCAGTGTGTACAAGACAAGTAAATTAATAAAACAAGGTTAAAAATACATCCCTCCGATCCCTGTATGACCGGAGCCAGAGCTGTGTTCACATTGCCGGCAGTAAGTCAGACCTGTTCCCGGTGAATGTTGGCCTCCGACAGGGCTGCCCTTTGTCACCGGTTCTGTTCACTGTATTTATGGACAGAATCTCTAGGCGCAGCCAGGGGTCGGAGGGGGTCCGGTTCGGAGACCACAGGATTTCATCTCTGCTGTTTGCGGATGATGTCGTCCTGCTGGCTCCAACGAACCAGGACCTGCAACATGCACTGGGGCGGTTTGCAGCCGAGTGTGAAGCGGCTGGAATGAGAATCAGCACCTCCAAATCCGAGGCCATGGTGCTCGACCGGAAAAAGGTGCCTTGCCCTCTGCAGGTGGGTGGAGAGGTCCTTCCTCAAGTGGAGGAGTTCAAGTATCTCGGGGTCTTGTTCACGAGTGAGGGAAGAATGGAGCGTGAGATTGACAGGCGGATCGGTGCAGCGTGCGCAGTGATGCGGTCTCTGTATCGGACCTTTGTGGTAAAGAGGGAGCTGAGCCGAAAGGCAAAGCTCTCGATTTACCGGTCAATCTTCGTTCCCTCCCTCACTATGGTCATGAGCTTTGGGTAATGACCGAAAGAACGAGATCGCGGATACAAGCGGTCGAAATGAGCTTCCTCCGCAGAGTGGCTGGGCGCTCCCTTAGAGATAGGGTGAGGAGCTCAGTCACACGGGAGGAGCTCGGAGTAGAGCCGCTGCTTCTCCATGTCGAGAGGAACCAGTTGAGGTGGCTCGGGCATCTGTTCCGGATGCCTCCTGGACGCCTCCCTGGGGAGGTGTTCCGGGCACGTCCCACCGGGAGGAGGCCCCGGGGAAGACCCAGGACACGCTGGAGGGACTATGTCTCTCAGCTGGCCTGGGAACGCCTTGGGGTCCCCCCGGACGAGCTAGAGGAAGTGTGTGTGGATAGGGAAGTCTGGGCGTCTCTGCTTAGACTGCTGCCCCCGCGACCCGGCAACGGATAAAGCGGAAGAAAATGATTGGATGGATGAATGGATGGTTAAAAATACATAAAACAGGAAACAATTGCCACTGTGAAATCGATCAACAATAACAGTTTCAATACAAGTGCGAAATTATTAAAGTGCTCTGTTCAGACAGATTACAGCTTGTGGAAAGAAGATGTTAGCATATCGAGATGACCGGCATCTCAGAGAACAATATCTTCTGCCAGAAGAAAGAAGCTGGAAAATGGCTTTTGATAATTAGAGCTCTGTTTAAAAGTCTGGATTTATAAAGAACCTCCAGAACAGGACGCTCACAGTTCTCTTTTCAGAAGAATACTGTCTCTACTGTTTATTCTGTCCACATTCACAGTATGTTGTCCTGTGAGTTTACAAAGAGGTAGCGATGGAGACACACACCCAAAACCTATGGCTGCGTCCAAAACAAACAAGAAAAATACAAAGTACAAAAACAAAATGTAATTATTGGATGGCAACACTGCATTTCTCCGCCTTTATTTTCTAGTATAGTTTTACTTTGTGCCTCCAATGTTCTTACTGCTGGATTGCAACCAAGCCCCGGTGATCCAAGATGGCGCCCTATTCAAATGAATGGCTTGTGCTCAGTAGCGCATGGGACTTCACAGAGACCGGGAGATTAGCAGAACTTGCCTATATTTGGGCATCGTCTGTTCCTCCTGGTTCTGCGCAGTGGACGAGCTCCCATGATGCGTTGCGCCAAACGTGCACGTGTGGCTCTCATGCACGTGCACAGAGGGGCTCGGCTGCGCTTTGACCAATCAGAGCTGATCATCAGAGCAGCAGCAGAGCGGAGTCAGAGCGGGAAGGAAAGGAGCAGAGTTTGTGGCAGTAAAGTGTGAATTTAAAGAAAACCGAAGGATTTAAGAAGAAAAAAAGTTCAGGATGACAAGGGACACTAAAATCCCCACAAAATCCGATCTTTATGAAAGCTGTAGGTTCTCTGTCAGCTGAGGTCGAGCTGTTTTAATTTACATTGAGTTCTATAGTACTTTTTTCTGGCTAGCCCGCGTGAATTTAGTTTGCAGTACCACGGGCGCCCCCTGTGCCCATAGGTGGGACAGCTATAAGCTAGTAATACCCTATCCAGTTATTATTATAGATCCATGACTGCAACACTGAAATGTCCATAGACTTCAGAGGAGCGTCCCTGCTTTTCAAAGGCCAATCTGAACCTTGGATTTTCAATGGTCACTTTAAAAAAAAATTTGAGTCCCATATGAACCAACCCTGAATCTGAGGAGCACAGGGACGGGACTCCTGCTGGTGCCCAGAGTTAGGACATTTCAGATTCATGCTGCTAAAATCTGGAGCAATCTTCATGAAAGTGTGAGACAGGCCTCCTCTCTGACAATGTTTAAAACCAGGTTAAAACATTTTTGTTTAGCTGTGCATACAACTGAGGGATTTTATATTTTCATCTTTCTTCTTAATGTACTGTGATTATTTATTTATCTTATTTTACTCAGCACTTTGAGTTGAATTGTGTATGAGTTGTGCTATACAAATAAACTTACCTTGCCTTGCAAAGGGAACCAATAGAATCCCCTGAAAATATATGCTTCTATCTACTGTTACTACTACTACTATGCTACTGCAGCGATAGTGCAATTGTTACTACTACTACTACTATAGCTACTGCGACTGTTACTACTAGGAGAGGTAAGTTTATTTGTATAGCACAATTCGAACACAAGGCAACTCAAAATGCTGGACAGAATAAGAAAGAAAAAAATCACACAAGGCATCAAAACTACTACTACTACTACTACTATAGCTACTGCTACTGTTACCACCACTACTACTACTACTACTTCAGCTACTGTTACTACTACTATAACTACTACTAGTACAGCTTCTGCTACTACTACTACTACAACAGCTAGAGCTACTACTACTTCTCCTAAGCTGGTTAAGTTTTCATCTGGTCCTTATACGTCTCACCTCTGCGTTGCTGCTGCAGTGGTGGGCACCTTTACGGTATTTCAATGCATCTTATGAATACCAACTAAAGACATGTGCAAAGAAACCGCGCACTGAACATGTAGGATACTAATAAGTATTCCTTGTCTGTAGAGGCTCATGTGGAGATAATATGGTGAAGAATTTGATGATCCCTGCTGAAATATCCACGAAACAGTCACAATTACACAAATCCTGTATTCTGAAGTCGATGTTTTGCGTTGCAGGTGGAGGGCGTTGTGCATCCGCTCTTTGGGAGGAGAAAAAGCGTTTTAATTAATCAACACTGGTTCTTTGAAATGTAAATCTGCCGAGCTGCGTCTGCTGCCACAGTTCAGGGTCTACATGGCTATGAGCAAGACCTCTCCAGTCCAGTTCAGTATAGGATGAGGGAATGTGGGAAAGGAAAGGAGTTTTATTAATTTTTGTTGACATTATTGTGCAAGTAAAACAGACATGGAGTTGATTTAAAATATTTCTGTGCTTCATATTCAAAGTATTTATGTACTTTGATATCTCCATTCATTTCAGATACATTAATCATCTTTGTGAGTCCTTGGGAAGTAAAGCATATAAATGGGGTCCAACTCGTCCCTATTTGACAATTTATGGTCCTCATTAAAATGGAGTTGTTTCAGATCCACCTATGCTAATAATATCAGGAACTTCTGGCACAAACATAGGTCTCCGCCCCTTCTGTCTAAAATATTTTGTCTCCTGTCCCCAGTTTTCTTTGTAATCACATGGCTCATAATTTTTGAATTAGAAAAATAAAAAAAATAATTTCTCCTTCTCTGGTGGTAGTAGTAGTAGTAGTAGTGTAGGCAGATAGCATCATTTACACTTCAAACTACTTTCACCATTAAAGTACTTTCATATTTTGTACTGCTATTTACTTTGTCATGAAATGTATAAGTAAATAGCCACATTATAATTTTCAATGGTCATGAACAATGCGTAATATTCACGATTTGAACTGAAATTTAACACAGTTTAACACAACTATGCAAAACCGCAGCCCAAGTACATGTGATCATTCAAAGTTACTGCTCACAAGGATCAAAACATGTGCGCGATCAGGTGCTCTTCAGGAATGATTATACCCATTTATTCCTATAGAGATATGGCAACATGTTTCAACCGCTCTCGGGTTTTCAGGGCAAGACCCAAGTGAGGTCTAAACACGTCGCCATGTAGGAATAAAGGATTTGTTTTACATTTTGCCTCAGACCTTTTCCTTGTTGTTCTTGGGAGCAGATCCCTCCCTTGATATGGCCCACCCCCCAGAGGTTTCTACTTTTATCCCACTGTGTTTTTGGAGTTTTTCGTGGCTGATGCAGGAGGGTCTAAGGACAGTGGTGATGAGCCAGGACACTCCACATTCAAGGACATTTATGGACATTTACGGACACTGGTCATCTGCCCCTTATGGACCAATGCTCTACGTGTTTGTTATATGTGTTTGTTAGGCGACAGTGGCTCACTTGGTAGAGCATTGGCCTTTGAGCCTGAAGGTTGTGGGTTTGAGGCCACCGTGAGACCTTCTCCACGCATCCACTGATATATGCTGTGAATACTAACCAACTTTGCCTATAAGGAGCGCGGAAGTAAAGTTTGCCGCATGTGGAACAAATATCACTTCTTATCACTGAATTTCTTGACTCTGACCTGTTTGAGTCTCCGATCTGCGTTGGAGAAACAATATTTTTTTTTTAGATAACTACTGTTGTGATTTAGGGCTATACAAAATAAATTAATAAAGTGATTACTAATGTTTTAATTTGAACGCTCTCTTTTGTGTTTTGTAGGTTAAGTTGTGTATGAATTGTCCCATACAAATAAACCCGCCTTGCCAAAGTAAAATTATAGTAACAAGATTGTTATTGGCGCTTCTAAAACCGTTACGCCAACTTGCCAGGGAAATGAATCCTACTAATCGTGTGTAAGATAGCGCTCGTGGAGTCCAGAGCAAAGCAGAAAATTCCCATTATGAATTTCTGTCCAAAATGTCAAGTGCAGGCGTTTTGCTTCGAGCGTCATCTCAATTTCACAGCGAAAGTGCTTTTTGCTCATATTGATTAAAGTCCGCGGTAAAGTGATGAGTGCACAAGAGTATATTTGATAGTGTTTGGTTTGCGTTCAGATCTGCAGTGCGTGTTGGCTGCTCATGTGACGGATGTTGTTTGCTAATATGATTTTTCACTTTATGTAACTCATGTGAGAGTTATCAGAGAAGCAGAAGCCTCACAAACCTCAAAATACACCCACTGTAAATATGAGCCGCTGTTGGGCCTCATTTCATTTTGGACCCTTTCTAATCGTTGATTTTTATAACTATAATTATAACTAACCCACTGTCTATTTGTCATTTCTGAATGGGGATCTTGAAATGTCTTGTTTTTGCAAAGAATGATAAAAACAATAGTACATTTTCTTTTTGTATAGTGCTTTTTGGACACTCAAAGATGCTTCACATGTCATTTTCATTTTTCATTAATTCTATACACGTAGCCACAACTGCCCTGGGGCACACTGATAACCGGTATGTGCCACTTTCCGACCAGAATCAATCATTTGCTCACACCCACACATACCCACACAAACACATACCAAACTCATTCTCGGCCAGGGGTCTCCAACCTGTGGCTCCTGGGCTACCAGTAGCTTGCCATCCCCTTTCAGGTAGCTCGCCAAAGGAATTAGAATTTTACCAATGATCTTGAATGAATAATTTTTGATATATCTCCTATGAGTATTATTATAGGGTTATACAGTATTATGGTATTTTTTTTACTAATTGTATTACATCGATTGTTATTGTGACTGCAAAAAGGAGTAGCTCTCTGCCACTTAGTTTGTAGACAAGTAGCTCTCTGTTTGAAAAAGGTTGGAGACCCCTGTTCTAGGCAAACATTTGTTGATGTGTAATTGACATAAAACCTTTCATTGTTATTGCTTTTGTTGATGTTGTTAATAAAAATACTAAATAAAACAAGTCAGGATACTGTCATTGTCCAGTGTTCTCACCTCCTCCAGTTTGTACGTGATCATGGTGAAGGCCCTGAAGACACTGTCTGTGGAGCCAGTGATGGTGATGATCCTCTCTGGACATGTTCCCTCGGAGATATTCACCCGCGCACTGCTCTGTGAAGACCAGCATCAGGCCAAATGAGTCCAAAACGCCACAACATGTTTATATAAAAGCACACAGAAAGATTACTGAGATGACAGATGATCAATACTTAGCAGTACAAAAGAAAATTTCAAATCACAGCACGTAGGAGTTACAGACTATACCTCTTCTCGTATTCTCTTCACTGTCTCTCCTTTCTGAAAGAGAAAATATGAAGGACAACATTAAAACGCAACAATGTCCTTTTACTATACCTACAGCTTGACATTTCAGCATTGGGATGAATAACTTTGTATTCTGTTCCATGCATTTGATGTTTAAGAGTTTAGGATGTTCAGAAATAGACAGACACAGCTTTACACGCACATGACTTGAGTTGTCTTGAGGCTGATACGATCGGATTTGAGTCACTCACTCCACGGTCTGTGTCTTCCACTATTTACTGTTTTCTTTCTCATTTCTCTAATTCTTCCAATGCCATTGTAAGAACACAGAAACTATACATTGTTTCTTTTGTAAGTGTTGTATTGAAGAGAGAACAGTGGGTAATGGGCATGCCTGGAGCTACAGTATGAGATATTTATGTTGGTCCTCTTCCTTCTAGACACCTGCCTATAGCTGTCTACGTAACAATCTCTGTCTACAATAATGCTTTGTTCATGATTGCATGTTGGATTTGGTTTTGGACTTAGGCAAAAAAAGTGTGGGGTCAGAGAGTGTGTGGGCCTATGAGAATATGAAAGTGATTATTATGTGTGTTTTTACCACTGCTGAAAATACTAAAACAAATATGCCTAAGAATTAAGTTTACTGAGCATGAACACATTGTAGCTGTATCACAAAGACATTTACACTGCAAGAAGTGATGAAAAATAAGTAAAGAATGTCTCAAATGTGGCTAAATGTATCTTAATTAAACATCAAACATTTTGACTGCCATAAAACATGAATTGCCAATTGGACAAGCAACATTATCTTGTTATACAAAGATACAAGATATGTCTCATTTGGAATGAGAAAATAAAGCCACAGTTCTTGAAATGAGACTAAATGTTTTTGTCCCTTTGGCAAACCTTGTATTAACACAATCAGAATACACATAAAATAAGATAAAAACTCATAAATTCAAGCAATTATTACCTAATAGTTGATCATTTTTTGCAGTGTAAGAATAGCCAAACAAAGTGAGCATCTGGATTCCAGAAGTTGTGTGCTCTACAATAAGAAAAACACGTCTCCATCGGTAGAGCTGAAGTTGGCTGGATGACTAGGTGAACTTCTATATACGATCTCAACTCCGACTTTGAGTTACAAAGACATAGGGCCATATACAAAGAGCCGCAATTGGCCCACGAGCCTGAGTTCAGACATGCCATTTGCAAATTTTTCTGATATATATATTTTTTGGGCTAATTTCTGCAGTAATCATCAATGGCTACCGATACATTAGGACCTCCTGGGGTTTAGTAACGCTCTACAGCCGCAGCCCTGACTGGATCCTACTCCTCCACAGGCTCAAGACACCGCCCCATGAGACAACCACATAATATGTTTTCAGTATCAAAGCAGCTTACAGTCACTGGTCTAAAGTTCCCACTCAGTTTGCAATTGCATTATGGGAGGTGGAGTGGGAGCAGCTCTGAGCCGCTTAGATTTGAGGGGATATTCAAAGCAACAATAGCTTCATTATTTGGCTTGTACACAATTGCAAAAAGGAGAAATAGGACGGAGAAATGCATTCATACTGTGAGCACAAAGCAGAGGAAAATGGCTGCTTTGTTTGCATACATTAGATAGAGGTCATGTCGGTACAAAACAACATCTGATTGAGAGCGGAGTGGTGCAAAGTATTCATAATAACAAAGGTATTAAAAGAAACATGTTTAAATGACTCTCACCTTTCCTATGATGCTACCGACTTCCTACAACAAACAGAGACAAAAGGAAAATGTTTTCAGATCAGAAAGCAAACAGGTCAATGTTAGTGCAGCTGCTGTGTTAGCTAAAGGTCATTCCATACACGATATTTACAAAAAATAGTTCAAACAATGATTTAAAATGTCAAATATGAGTTGTAAGTTATGGGTAAGATCCAGTGTTTTAAAGGGGTAATTCTCCTTTATGTTTGACTTGTCATTTGAAGCCACTGGGAAAACCTGTCAAGCTAATTATATATACAGTATATCTTTTCCCTATTAAAAGTGGGGTTAGCCTTTTTCCAACCTCAAATAATATACTATGCACTACATTGTATAGTTGGGAGTCAAAACAGTTTTGTTTATTTTTTTTATATATACAAACAATTATTTACATAGAAAAGGCTAATTGTTTCACTGATTTATAATGAAAAGGGGTTGATTTGACAAAAAAGAAATACGGTTGTTTCACATTCCCTTGAGCGGACAGTTCTCTGTTAATCAAAAAATGAAAAAGACAAAAGAAAGGATAAAATATGCAAATGTCCCGGCAGCGGAACAGTAGAGTCTGATTTTTGTTTTGGTATCGAGGCTTTAGCCGTGATTGCATTTCAGCCGGAGAACCATGTGACCTTCAGGATGTTCTCAGGATGTGGGCCGTGGTGCAGAGTCATGATACTTGAGACAGTTGTTTTGCATTTGGACATATCATCAAGGACTTTTCGATTTGCTTGAAGAAAAAACAATATTACGGTTGTCATAGTAATAGTCAATTTGTCAAGCCATTTTTTTATTTTTACATTGAGATGAATTTTCTACAAAAATAGAGATTGTAATAATGTGACTGCATAAATGGACAGGGAATTCTGCTGTCTCTGTGATCAGGCAATGGATAAAGTGAAAGGCAAAAAAATGGATGGATGGAATATATAATAGTTAGTTTCCAACGTAGTTAAAACTACTACAGTAGTCCTGACGGAGCAGAGCATCAACATCTGAAGATGGGAAAGCCCCAGGGTTCAAAGATGGCCTGTGCTCTTCGGCGTACGCTCGCACCATGGACAACCCAAACCTAAGCAGAAGTGACGCATTTGGGCCAGTTCTGGTCTTCTGCAATAGGTCCACATTTTGTTCTATTTCTGCAGGACCAGACTAACACACGAGTGTTTGTTTGTATAGTTCATACACAAAGCAACCCAAACAAAATGACAAAACACAATGCCACTACCTATAGAGGGCAGCACTGCAACATGACGGAAGCTCTAAGTGTTTAGAAGAAGACACCAACCACAGTCTTCCTGAGTCGAATTAGAGCAAATGAGAACCAGCCATAATTTTTGCACAATCGTGTGTTTGAAGAAAACCTATTTTATTTATATCCAAATCAAGTGAACAATGACAAGGATCCCAACAAAATCCAACCTTAGAGAAAGCAGTAGGTTGTTAACACTGATTTCCTGTATAACCCTGGTGAATTTAGGGTGCAGTACCATGGGATGCCGACCCTATGCACATAATCTACCACATCGATGGCCCCGGGCACTGTACTACAGTGACCTGACAGGGGGCCTCGGTGGCATTGAAGGTTGGTTTAAATGTACAGGACAAATTTCAATGTGGTGTCTTTAACTGCTAGCTAACTAGCTAACTAAACAAGCTATCTATGAATTAAACGCCGCAGCCAAAATAATTCATACGGACAAATGTTTGTGCAGTTTTCTTTTGCGGTACCTTTCCGTGCATAAGCAGTCGTAGTGTGAGGGTGACATCTCCAAAGTCCTGCTCACAGTTCATAGTACTGAGGGTGTGGTTGTCCAGTAGACGCATCAACAGCTCTGCTCCGGTCCTTCACTGTGACAGGGGCTCATGCGGGAGCTCATGCAGGACGGGGGGCTCTCCACTGGGGGAACACTGGGAACAGCACTGCTCCTCCACGCTCCACAGGACTTCTCCACCAGTCTGAAACAGAGAGAGCAAAGATGGAGCTTGTTACTGCGTTGTAAAAGGAATATCAATGTATTTTTGCACAGCCCAAAATCACTACAGCAATCATTTTAAAGGACACCACAGAATTGTTGAGTTTGCGATCATCAGCAGATTTCTAAAATAAGAGAAAACATATGACAGCAGGTGAACCAATGTCTAGTCTATAAATGTCCCAGATCATCTCCTGGCCTTAGACGCTCCTGTATTGGTAAGGACATTTTTGTTTAAATTATAATTATACGGTCACATCTTTACATCAAATTTTTCTGACAGAAAAGTGGGAAAAAAGAACCTCACTCACTCAGCCATTCAGCTTTCAACCCAAAACAGCCAAAAACACATACATCCTTATGAAAACCAGAGATATAGAACCATACTGTTGAGAGCGAGAATTTAGTTGTATCGGGGATGTCGAGCTGGTTTCCAAAAAGGCTGGTGTGCAAGTTTCTATTCCAACCATAAACTAAACCGAGCAGCAGCACAGACTTCACCCATATCCTCAAGTCTCCCTTTTAAGACTGGTGTACCCCAGGTAAAAACTAAAACTAACTAATTATGCTAATAATGCTAAGCTAGCAGCATACGGCTTTAAGTAGCATCAGCCTATGTAGCCTAATCTTTTCCCGGTTCCATGTCAGCAATGATTAACGCTGCATGTAATTATACTATATGAATTAAATTAAAACAATTGTTAAATAGATTTAGTTCTAATTTATAACAAAAGTTAACTCTATTGTTGAGATGCATTGACTTATACTGTGTGCACTTGAACCTTAACCTGAATCTGAACAAGTTAAACTAATTAGCGAAAAATGTCCTTGTTACTGTCCTATTTATTTATACAGGCTGAACTTGGAGACGTGATGGTGAGAGGAGTCGTTCTTATTCATCGAGTAACCCCTGGTCTGGTGAGCCTGTGCCCCCAACACTCTCTCTATCGACACAAACCCACTTCAGGATACAATAATTACGGACTCATTGAGCACAACATTTTTCACCTTGGGTCCGTGGACTATTGCTGTTGAACCACAACAAAACAAACAACAATAACTATATTCTGCAGTATCTTTGTAAATGTTTTTCCCAAATATATTTTTTCCCCACTGAAAGATCAAGGCTATGCTCACAGTCAGAGAGCAGCCGTCCTCCTGTGGACTCACCACCTGCAGAGGGTCAGTGAGGGGCTGGTGCTATGAGACTTGGGTGGCATCTCTGACTGCCACCCCCCTGACCCAGAAATGGATTAAAGGGTAGAAAATGGATGGATGGATGGATATTTTTTCCCTCACAATATATGGTACCATAACCACAGTTACTTTGGTCTGTCTCTTAATTACTCCCGCTCCAGCAGTCAAACCTTTAGAATCTTCTTTATTACTCATTAATTTTGTAAATACATATTATAACATCAAGAAAGTCAACCCATATTACACTTGACTTACCTAAAACTGGGGGGTATGCTACTGCTTGGTTGGAATGAAAACCTGCATCCACACGAGCCTTTTGAGGACCAAGTTATGGATTGAATTTTTTTTACATATATCAATTTGTTGTGGTTTCAAAGTTATCTATCTATAGCCGTAAACCATTTGCTTGTAGAGCTTGGTTGCCAACATGAAGAAGTTCCCATCACACACTCATCATTCATCCACATACCCACCTCTAGACTCCAAAAGCAAGCAAACTTGATAATACAGGCGAACTGTTCATGGGGAGGGTAAACTTTGAGAACACGTTGTGTGTTACTGTAGATGAATTACTTGATTCTGTCACCACCACTGTTTTGAATGTTCTGGATACAATTGCTCCTGTAAAGGTTAAAATAGTTACAAACAAGCAAAAAGCGCCATGGACTAAAGCAGACTCGGTCAGGGCACAGAAGAGAGAGTGCCGGAAGGCCGAGCGGAAGTGGCGAAAGTCAAATCTCAAAGTTGACCATGAGATCTTCAAAGATGCGTTGTGCAATTTTAACAGGGAACTACGTAGAACGAGGGAAATGTACTTTTCTGAAACTATTGAAGGCTGTAGCAACAATCTACGTGTTCTGTTTTCAACAGTAAATAGATTGACGAATCCCCCTGTTAAGATGCCATCAGAACCTACTTCCAAATCTAAATGTAATGAGTTTGCTCAGTTCTTTAATGACAAAGTCCAAGGTATCAAAAACGCCATCACCTCCACGATAGAAATAATAATCCAACCGCCAGTGAGGCTTTTTGGGCTGACGCACTTTACGCCAGTACAAATTGAAACTGTCCAGGAGATAATCACTAGTCTGAGTTCCTCCACATGCAGCCTGGATGTATTACCTCCTAGATTTCTCAAGTCAGTTCTGAGCAGTCTTTTACCTTCACTTACACAAATAGTTAATATGTCTCTTGAATCTGGAACATTCCCAATGGCCTTGAAAACGGCGGTCATCAGGCCCCTCCTAAAAAAGAGGAGTCTGGAAGCCCTGGCACTCAAAAATTATCGGCCCATTTCAAATCTGCCTTTCATGGGAAAAATTCTAGAAAAAGTTGCCTATAAACAACTTACAGAATTTTTAATAATCAATAACGCTTATGATATGTTCCAGTCAGGGTTTAGACCCCACCACAGCACTGAGACCGCGCTAATAAAGGTAACAAATGACATCAAACTAAACACTGACGCAGGAAAAGTCTCAGTCCTTAAGTGCTGCTTTTGACACTATTGATCATGGCATCCTCATTCAGAGACTTGAGGACTGGGTTGGTGTTGCTGGCACCGCCCTAAGCTGGTTTAGGTCCTATTTACAAGACAGAAAGTTTTTTGTGGAGATCGAAAACTGTACCTCAGACCACTTGGCCCTGACCTGCGGAGTGCCACAGGGGTCAATCCTGGGTCCTCTTCTGTTTAATATTTACATGTTGCCTCTAGGTCAGTTGATTCACAGTAATAATGTCTCTTATCACAATTACGCTGACGATACTCAGGTCTATGTGTCCCTGACAGCAGGAGAGCATGAACCAGTGGACTCGCTCCTTCACTGTGTCCAGCAAATCGGTGATTGGATGCAAAATAACTTTCTCCAACTAAACACCGACAAAACTGAAATAATTGTTTTCGGACCCCAGAAACAAAGAGAGAGCGTTATTTGTCACCTCCAGGCTCTCTCTCTACAACCCTCAAATCAGGTCAGAAATCTAGGAGTGATAATGGACTCAGACTTAAATTTCAAAAGCCACATAAAATCTGTAACATCAGCAGCTTATTACCACCTAAAAAACATTGCTAAAATTAAAAACATAGTGTCTAAGGCAGACTTGGAGACTCTTATACACGCTTTTGTCTCCAGTCGGTTAGACTATTGCAATGGCCTGCTCACAGGTCTGTCCAAACAGGCTGTAAAACAGCTGCAGTACATTCAACATGCAGCAGCTCGAGTCCTGACCAGAACTAGGAAGTGCGACCACATTAGTCCAGTTCTCAGGTCTCTGCACTGGCTTCCTGTTCCTCAGAGAATAGACTTCAAAGCAGCTTTACTTGTGTACAAGTCTCTCCATGGTCTCGCGCCAAGGTACATCCATGACATGTTGGTGCCATATGAACCGACCCGGACTCTGAGGAGCACAGGGACTGGACTCCTGTTAGTGCCCAGAGTCGGTACTAGACATGGGCAAACTGCATTTCAGATTCATGCGGCTAGAGTCTGGAACCGTCTTCCTGAGAATGTGAGACAGGCGTCTACTCTGGCATCTTTTAAATCTAGGCTCAAAACAATTCTGTTTAGCTGCGCATATACAACTGAATGATTTTATCTTTTCATCTTTGTTTTTATCTTTAATCTTTTTAATGCACTGTGACTATTTATGATTTTAGTCCCATCTGTGATTTTAATGTTTAAAGGTTTTTAATTTTTGTGATTTTATTTTTAATGTTTTTAATATATCTTGTGCTCTTAATGTGTTTGATTTATGCATGATGTGATAGGGGATGTGAAGCGCTTTGCGTTGCCTTGTGTAGGAAAGGCGCTCTACAAATAAACGTTGATTGATTGATTGATTGAAAGGTTCCCCATGCTTTAAAATACACATCCTCCAAACACGTGTAAGGATGTTGCTAGGGCCACCACTCCTCAAAGTTGTTTTTAAGAGAGCACGCTTGGAGTGCGTTCAGAGATGTGTGGCAGAGGATCATGTTTAATAAAAGCTGTTATTTCAGATGAGGCCGGTACGTCTCTGCGTGTTGTAGAAGGCAGCTTTATTGCTTTGATGCCGAGTCCAAGGTCAGCTCTCTCTCTCTCTCTCTCTCTCTCTCTCTCTCTCTCTCTCTCTCTCTCTCTCTCTCTCTCTCTCTCTCTCTCTCTCTCTGTCTCTCTGTCTCTCTGTCTCTCTCTCTGATTTATTTATACTGAGAGACTGGCTATGACACGTTCGGATGCTAAAGCGCGTCCTTCTTAAGATGTCACAGCTCATTGGTGAATCGGTTGCATGTAAAAAATAAAATTGAGGTTTTTGTCAGATGGGCAGGGCCAGGGTCTTTCAAGTGTTGTCATGGAATTACACAGTCACGCTTCCTGGTAATTATTGCCGTATGTTTTTGTTAATGCACTCCCGGTTGGCTCCAGGAGGAGTAGCCGTGTTTGAGCAGCTAATGGAATTCAGAAAGGGCTTTACTCAATATGATTTTCAGAACCACCAAATTACACACAGATTGATGAAGATGAACAATAATTGAGCGTTATTGAGCGTTTTAATTGTCATTCATTGTGATTCATGAATAAGTAATGTGATATTATAATAATATAGTAATAATAATAGTAATCGTAACATTTCGTAATAAACTTAAAATCCATTCATCCATTTTCTTCCGTTTTA